CACTTGACCAATAGACTGCCCCAAAGGAGACCACCTTTGTACTCTGTTATTTTTGTTTTGGGCGAAGAATAATGGTGTGGGGTAGGAGCAAGAAAAGATTGTAAGTTAGAAAAAGACACAAGATAAAACTCAATTCTATCTTTGAAAGATCAGAAACAGACTGTTCCTAACCTGTAGCAATGCCAATTTTCAGCATGTCTGGCTATGAAAGGCCCAACCCTGGTAGTTGTGGTGGCCAGATCTTCTCCCCTTTGGGGACCCTGAATCTAGAATTTCCAGTGCAGGGGACTTCCATGAAGATACAAAGGGATCTAAGACAGGCTGTTGCTGAGCAACACTATTAGAACACAGTTCAGAATAATTGTAGCTGTCATCTCATTTCATTCGGAGAGAATTAGATTTGGAGGCAGGGGGATAGACCAGATGACCTCTAAATGTCCCTTCCAGCTCCACCATTCAGTAAAACAGTCAGATAAGAGGAGGAGGCAAGAGAAAAGTAAGAACACCATCCTTAAAACAAGTTACTGTTATAAGCAGCTCGAAAATAACAGAAAGTTGGTCAGATGTGATGGCTCACCCCTGTAATCCTAGCACTCTAGGAGGCTGAGGCGGGAGGATCGCTTGAGGTTGGGAGTTCAAGACCAGCCTGAGCAAGAGCGAGACCCCATCTCTTTTATAAATAGAAAAAAATACCGGCAGTGTGGCTCACCGCCTGTAATCCTAGCCTTTGGGAAGGCGAGCGGGCGGATTGCTCAAGGTTCAGGAGTTCCGAAACAGCCTGAGCGGACCCCGTCTCTACCAAAAATAGAAATCAGATAATTAGCAACTAACTATAATACAAAAAAAAAAATTAGGCTGGCATGGTGGCGCATGCTGTAGTCCCAGCTACTCGGAGGCTGAGGCAGTAGGATCGCTGGAGCCCGGAGATGATGAGGTTGCGTGACCAGGCGACGCCACGGCACTCTGCTAGCCTGGGCAACAATGAGACTCTGTCTCAAAAAAAAAAAAAAAAATATCCAAGTGTGGTGGTATGTGCCTATATTCCCTGCTACTCGGGAGACTGAGGCTGAGGCAAGACGATGGCTTAGGGCTTAGGAGTTTGAGGTTGCTGTAAGCTAGGCTGACGCTACTGCACTCTAGCCTGGGTGACAGAGCAAGACTCTGTCCCAAAAATAAAAAAGAAAAAGAAAAATGGAAAGTTAACAGATTAATAGTCAATATTACCTTTATCAGCGACTCATAGAGCAACCATTCCCTCTCTAAACCTAACACAAAAGAGTGTAGATTAGTTGATGCCTTAGAGCTGCAGTCCTCAACCCCCAGGCCATGGCCCGGTATAGGTTCGTGGCCTGTTAGGAAATCGATGTGCATCACAGCCTGAGTTCTGCACCACAACCCACACATACACCCACAGCACCCTACCTCCACCCACCCCTTCCACAGAAAAATTGTCTTCCATGAAACCGGTCTCTGGTGTCAAAAAGGTTGGGGCTCACTGTCTTAGAGGATCCCACAAAGGCCTCCCTGCCCCACCAGCAAACCCTCCCCACCCAGAAGGCTGTTCAAAGACAAGCCTAAAGTAAAGTTCCAAGATGTTTCCTGCTCTGTCTCTATCATGCACACTTTCACAAGGAGCAGAGTGAACTAGAGAACCAAAAGAAGTGGAGAGATGCAGGATCTTCTCTCACACATCCTCCATTCCTGATCCCTTGCCCCACCCTGTAGGCAAGGCTGGTTTAAGGGTTAAAAGACTGAGATTCTGTCTCCTATTTACCAAGTACCCCTTTAGTGCCACTTGAGTGGCTCAAACAATGTTAAGAATGGCAGGAGAACCAACAGTCCACACAGACCTTGTTAAAGTTTAGCTGAATGCAGAAGCCTTCAAATACTTTAAGAAACTGGGCTCACATTGATGGCCCAATCAAATGGCCACCTGATCATTTTTTCCCTGACCTACTGATAGAAGGCTAAAGCCCCAGCAAATTAAAGAGGTTTTACCAAGAGTAACCCTCTAAGACCTAGATTCAAGTCCTAGCTTTGCCATTGACATGCTATATCACTCTAGGTTAGTGTCTCCCTTTTGTGGGTCTTGGTTTCTTCATCTATACAATGAGAAGAGTTGGACTTTACAGTTGTGGAATAAATTCTAAGGAGGGAAACCAAAAACTCAAAGACACCTTGAAAATTCAAAACAATCTTTTTAGGGAATCCAAGAGAGCCCCAAAGACTTTGTGATCTTAAAAAAGTTAAAGAAGGTAGGGAGAGGGAAAGACTCCCTCTGTCTATACACACACACACACACACACACTGTCATCATCACCAGAAAGTGTAAATGCAAGTTAATAAGCTCCTCTATTCTGGCTACTAAAGCAGACTCAGGAAACTGGCAACCAGAAGCAGAGTCCAAAAATGGCAAGAAGTGGGGGGAGAGCAGTGAGGCATGTTTTAACAGATTTAAGGGAGGTTGGGCTGACGAGGAAAGACAATTGGCTAAAAAAGTGAAACCAACCCTGGATAGACTGCAGACATGGTTCATATGAATGAATGGGTTTGATTTTCCACTACCCTTCTCTTGTCTGCCATACTCCAGAAATAACCTAAAGCACACCAGTGAAGAAGAGGAGAAAGGAAAAATTTCTCTTCATTAAAGTTATTGGCTGGTATTCAGTGAACTAGAGTGTGCTCCTGGATACCTCACCCTTGAAATGAGGAATGAGGAAAGTAACAGGAGGTACCTTGTGAGACTCACAAATCTTACCAGAAGACCACACAAAGTGGGTCACTCTGCCCAAATTACCCACTTCCTTTTATCGTAGGACCTCGAAGGCCTGAGAACAGGGAGCAACTTGCTTTGGGCAAGAGAGAGAACTCAAACTTCATTGGGTCAGAGTAGGGGGTCAATGGGATGGGCATCAGAAAGCCTGGACCCAATCCTGAGTCAGTTACCATGTGCCCTTAGGTCAGTCTTTTCCTGTAGGGCTAAACAGCCTCATTGCTTAAAAAAGCAACGTATCTACTAGATAGGTAGTCTCCAAAGTCCCTTTCAGGTTAAGATTCTATCGTCTTAACAGGCTTGACAGTTGTTTTTCCTAAAAGTTGACCATTCCTTGAGTCAAACAGCATAGAAAATTCTCTAATGCTTCCAGTCTATCAAAATTCAGCTGGCTCCTTCCAATTTGATTCAAGTTTCAGTCAATCTGCATAAAAATATCATTAGTCTTCAGGTACCTTCCAGTACCCAGGGACTATGAGTCTGACCCCAAACAGCTCATACTCCAATCTCTCTCCATACCCAGGAAAAGGATCACCACTGTCTTCTTTGCCCATTTTTACTGAGATGAGATGGTTAATACAACTGTGAGGCAACAGCCAGCAGCCAGGACACTCAAGTTGTATTTAAAGGTGCGATATCTCAGAACTGAGGATGAGATATGCTCCTAAGGGAAGAGAGGCCATGGAGCAAAGCGTATTCCCAGAGATCCACCCAACTATTTGGGCAAAGCCACACCTTAAAAGGAGGCAGGATCCAACCACAGAGAGATAGACCCAAAGAGAGGCTCCTGGAAGTATCGTGTAATCGTGTGTATTGGCAGAGACAGTGGAGTTTTTTCCTCGTCTCTTTGCAAAACCATTCTCTCTCACTTTGTGTGTGTTGGGGGGTGGGGAAGAAAGTGCGGAAAATCTCCACGTCACAAAAACACCAGCAATTTAACAGAGAGAGATGGTGAAAGCACACACTTGTTAAAACCTTGGTGTTTCTGGAGGACAGGGCTCTGGAAAAGCAAGAATTACTTGGTGGTGAGAAAAGAATACAGCAACATGGCAAGTAAAGCTCAGCACGAACCCAAAGAACTGGGTTTCCCCCACTCTCCCCCTCTCATCCCAGGGGCCTTCAGCTCTTTTCAAGGCTACTAATCACTATCTCAGCTCTACAAAGCTCAGGAAGTCCTAGGGAGATGGGTCTGGAAGCATTGCATAGCCTATGCCAGTCCAACAAGCTGTTTGGCCTAAAGGACTCAACCCAGAGTGGTCAGTAGGCCTTCTTGAGCAAGGGAAGGGCCCCAGCAGCCATTTGGCATGACTTGCACAAAAGCAAGCAGAGCTCATTAGTCAGGCACATCCCTCCCCCACCCCTCCCTCTTGGGCATCCGGCCCCCCTAGGCCCCACTCCCTGGAGGCTTCTGCTCTTCTCATAACAATCAGTGGGGTGGAGACCAGATCTCAGAATCAACCACCATTCTAGAAAGGTGTGGCCTCACAGGAGAGAACCCACACCTCACAGAACAGTCTGGACAGGACAGAGCAGCATTAAATAACGGGAAGGGAAGGGCTGGGATCTGGTGGGTGGAGAGGAGGAATAAACCGGTCCTCTCTCCTAGGAGATGAGGTAGGCCTCCCCTGAGACTATTGCCTAGTAAAGTGTTGGCGCTCTCCAGTAAAAGCCTTTATGATGAGTCCCTCCACAACTCTCTCCTCACCTCCTAACGGGAAACAGCTGGAGCCACCCGGGGAGGCTGTGGGAAAGGTGAGTTGGGGGTGTGGGATCCATCCTGAGCAACTCCCACCCTCCTCCCGGCTTCTCTGTTCCCATGGCCCCTGTTGGACAGTGTAACCCTTGCCCCAGAAAAGTGCCATTTCCTGGGCTGCGGAAAGTGTTCTCTGGAGCAGAATTCTCTTTCCTGCACCCACAGCCCGTCAAGAGACAGGGGAGATCCCGAGCCCACAACGGAGCCTTTCCCACTGTCGCATCCCAACACAGTAAACTGAAACCTGAAAAAGAGGCTGGCCCCGTCCTGTCCACACTTCTGGCCTGGACACCCCTCACTGCCGAGGGCGCGCCACACCAGGACCCCACTCCCGTCCCTCCTTGCCCCAGGCCTTGGCCGAGGGCGCGGCGTCCCACGCGGGCTGGTGGCCAGCCAAGTTTTCCGCCATCAGCAAAGGGCTAAGAGGGTCTGCTCGAGTCCCTGGGGTCAACAGTACCCAACCCCGGCACTTACCGTTTTGGGCATGGTGGCGGCAAAGGTAGCGGAGTTGGTGAAGTTTGGCTAGGAACTGTCGTGCAGCTCTGAGATCGCGCTGTACACAGGGCTCGGACTCGGGGGCCGGGGGCTCGGATTGGGTCCCTCTCTAGCGTCCGGGCGAGTGCTCGGCTTCCTGCTAACGGGCCACGACTTCACAAACCCCACCCAGGAAAGAGCCGCCCCCGTCGCGCCGCCCGCTCCTTTATGTGGCCGGGCTTCCGCGCCGCTCCCCGCCTTCGCGCCCGCCTCCCCGCGGGCCGCGGGCCTCGCCCCGCCCAGCCCCGCCCAGCCCAGCCCAGCCCAGCCCCGCCACCCTGGCCACGTGGGGGGCCGGGCTGGGCCTGAGCGTCTCAAGGGGAACTTCCACTCCCAACTTAAACCCACTCCGCTCCTGTCCCACCCACCTAACAGCCCCTGGTCCTCCAGGTCGCAGTCGTCCAGCCCCACCCCCACATAGGGCCGGCCCCTGGGCCGCACCCTAGCAGATGCTTACGCAGCCCCTGACTGCAACTTTCCACTGATGGGAAGCTCACTACTTATTAAAGCTGCCCATTCGCTCTCAAGATTACGCTGACTTTCAGAAAGCTCTTTCTGTGTGTATCTGAATCCCTTTTCTCTGTGGCTTCCACTCGTGGATCTAGGGCCCTGTTCCTTAGGGCCACGCAGATCCCCTGCTATCCCTAACAGCTCCTCAGGAAACTTCTCTTGACTAAACTGCCCCAGCTCCTCCAACACTTCATCCATTCTCTTCTGCAGGACCATTTTCCCACCATATTTCCTATCCATCCTTGCTCAGTCCTCATTTTCATCAGAATTGAAATCCTCTTCCACATATCTGTCCTCTATTTAATTTCCTTCCTCCAAATCCCAGTCTCCACCTTCCTCAAATCAGTGCACTGGTTTCGGCCTATCCCACAACACATTCACTTTCTGATGGGGCTATAATTCCCTCAGATTAGATGCTCCCTCTGTCCACTCCCTTGCGGTTTATCTGCCAGCTTCCTTTCTACTTCTTGTCAAGTTCACAGAATGCCATGATGGCAGTGTTCTAGACTGTTACAGTCATCTGGTTAAGTCTCAGTTTTAGTTTTAAAGTGGCTAACCATGGTCATTTTTTCTCCTCTCCACTAGCAACCATGTGGAAGCATGGTCTGAGTATTCATTGAAAAAAAAAAAAAGCACCACATACCACAGGGATGGTGAACCAGCTTGGAACACTGGAAAAGATATTTGAGAGAGGTGGTCAGGAAACCTGGCTTTTACTCATAGCTCTGCCATTAACTCACCCTGTGACCACTGTGTGGCCTTGGGTAAGTCCCTTCCCCTCTCTGAGCTTGAGTTTCCTCTTCTGTAGCAAGAATGGACTCCTAGGCTTCCAAGGTCCTTTCCCCATCTGAAATTGTAAAAAGAATGAGAAAGGAAGTAAACTTCCTAGGGCAATAGATGAGCCTAAGAAGGTTGCATAAGAGCTAGTCTTGTACTTGTACTCAGGAACCAGTAATCCCATTCCCTCCTCTGCTTTCCCAATTCAACTCTGTCCATGATTGAATATGCCTCAGTTTCTCTCACTGCTGCCAAGATTCATTGATGGATGATAGGGTAAACAAAGTTCCCTGCCAAGACCATTTCCTTGAGCTAAGCATTTGTGCAGACAGAGAGCAGCGCTCCCTGAAAAGCCCAGTCTCTGTAAGCAGTTGTCCCCAAAGAAGAGCATCACTCACCATAAACCCTCAGTAGCAGGGGTACCAATGGCAGCCAATAACACTCTTTATTACTTCCATGGTCCTTTTCACCCCAGAAGTTCAAGGAATTCACTGATTCCTTCATTCATGTCCACCTAGAGCTCAGGGTCCTAGTACCACGCTAAATGCCTAAAGAAGGAGGGAAACTTGGTTGGAGATTCCAACTTTCTTGAAAGTGGAAACCCCCTGTGTTTCCACACCTCGGAAGCCAACCCCCTTCTACACACACACACACAGGAGAGCCAAGTAGAGAAGAGGGCACATGAGTCCAAGCAGGGCTGAGGAGTATTAGAAGGTGGAAGAGCTAAGGAAGTGCAGGAAAGAGGAGCCAAGGGAGAATGGTGGAGTTGGACCTCTGGGGAGGAGAGAAAATTGAGGGAGATCATAAACTATCGGAGACTGTTTAGTCCAGTTCAGGAGAATCAGGATCAGAAAGAGGAAAGTATTGTATTTGCCCAATGCCAGACAAGTAGTGTGGACAACGAATTCAGCCAAAAAAAGAAATTTTGAGGGCTAGAACCAGGAAAGTACTATCCCCCTCCCCACTCACCAGAAAAAAAGCTGGTTATTATAGTCTAGCAACTGCACATTGCTTGGAGGTTAGATCTGAAACCCTCTGGCCAGGAAGGACTCATCTCAGTTATCCTCCTGTCTTCAGAGTAGAGCAGAAGTAGCCATGGTGCTCTCTTGCTCTTCAAGATGGCAAGGGAAACACAATTTTGTTTCCTACCTCTTTGTAAACTACTTTATGCCTAGATGGCCCTAACTTCTGATCTCCTCACCCCACCCGTTCTATGATCCTTTGGGAATTGAGTGCTAAATCAACCTTCCTGGAACCAGAGTAATTCCCACAATTGGGTTTAGATATGATGAGGTTTATGCCAGTGTTTGTAGAGAGAAGACATGGAAATAAGGGCTAAATATCCACACATAGGTTGGCTACCCTGGGAAAGGGAAGTAAAAGGTATGAAGAGGCTTAGGTTTTTAGACAAGCTGAATTCAGAAAGTTCCAGAAGGCACAGGCAAATCTTTTTCAAGTAGTATATATAAATGAGGAGCAATATGAACAGAGGGTGGTACAGGGACATTTTGGAGCTAGAGACCAAAGAAGCTGGGCTCATCTGAATCAGGTGGCAGGAGATGCAAAAGGAAAAGATTTGACTTGGGATCTAGGGCCAGACTTGGGGTTCAGTTAGATATGCTCAGGATTCATTTGGGATTGTTCTGGACCTGCAGCAAGTCTTAGCATCAAAGTCAAGGGAATGGTAAGCGAGAACTGCATAAGGGCCAGGGCCAGCAGCTCACACCAGTAATCCCAGCACTTTGGGAGTCTGTAACAGGAGGATTGCTTCAGTCCAGGAGTTTGAGACCAGCCTGGGTAACATGGCAAGACCCAAACTCTACAAAAATTTTAAAATCAGCCAGTGATGGTGGTGCACGCCGGTAGCCCCAGCTCCTTGGGAGGCTGAGGCAGGAGGATTTTTTTTTTTTTTTTGAGGCAGAGTCTCACTCTGTTGCCCAGACTAGAGTGCCATGGTGCCAGCCTAGCTCACAGCAACCTCAAACTCCTGGGCTCAAGCGATCCTCCTACCTCAGCCTCCCTGTAGCTGGGACTACGGGCATGTGCCACCTTGCCCGGCTAATTTTTTTCTGTTTTCAGTTGTTTGGCTAATTTCTTTCTATTTATAGTAGAGACGGGGGCTCGCTCTTGCTCAGGCTGGTCTCGAACTCCTAAGCTCAAGCAATCCTCCCACTTTGGCCTCCCAGAGTGCTAGGATTACAGGTGTGAGCCACCGCGCCTGGCCCAGGAGGATGTTTTGAGCCCAGCAGTAAGATGTTACAGTGAGCTGTGATTGAGCCACTGCAGCACCCCAGCCTGGGCGACAGAGCAAGAAGCTGTCTTAAAAACAAAACAAAACAAAAACCTGCATAAGGCTGATTAATGTTAAAGCCTATGCCAAGCTCAAGAGAGAAATGAAACTGGACACTTTATCACCTCCCCATATATCGTCCCCATCCTAGATCTAAACTCACTGCAATAAAGAAGCTTCTGCATTCTAGGTGACATTCCTTTTGCAGGGTATGCAGTGCAGTGCAGGAAAGGCAATACTAGAGAAGAACTGAGTAGGGGGACAGTCCTGAATCCCAGGGATACTTTGGGTAAAGAACCATCACCACTTCCCCACGCCACCTCCTGCAACTAATCCATTGAATGGTAGCAGCTGAAAAGTCTTTGTCATGCAGAATTTTCTGAGGGCTGCTTTTCATTTTCATTATTATTGGGAAGTCCTTCCTTTATATCTAAATAAGATCTCTTCTGCTTCACTCTGCATATTTGTTCTTGGCTTATCCTTGGAGGAAGATCTAACCGTTGAGACTATTCTTCTTTTCCTCCATTCATAGAAGAGAAATGTATCAGACATGAGGACAAACATCAGCTTCAGGCCACACACTCTGAGGACTTGTCTCTTTTTTCCTTCCCCTGGGTCAGCAAACCAAATACTTGACTAGTTCTGCCCCTTACACAAATAAGAGAATAGGCTAAAGAATATACTATTATCTCCCCAAAAGAAAGAGACCCCCCTTATGGCACAATATGGCTGAGAGTACAAACTGCAGCAATAGGAAAATCTTGCTTTTAAGCATATTCAGTCTTCTACCCACTTCTTGGACACAAAAGCTAGAATTTGGGTAAAAGGAAAGAAGATAATATTAATGAAGCACCTACCATGTGCTTAGTATTGGAAAGGCCATTTCAACATCTAACCTCATGTAACCCTCAGAAGAACCTTCAGAGGTAGAAATAAAGACATTGAGGCTCTGAGGAGTGACATGACTTATCCAAAAGTCACACAATTTGTTGATGGTGAGACAGGGATCTGGGCCCAGGTGGTGTGAGTCCAAAGTCATTCCGTCAGGCTGAACCTGTGACCTTCTCAGTCCCGAGCTGTGATCAAGCATTCCCAAGGAAGGAGATGTACTTTAAGATTCATATCACCCTTGCACCTTAGTGGTCAGACCAGACAGCTTGAGATAGTGAGTGGGTAATAATAAACAATGGTTATAAGGCATCTTGCCAGTACCAAGTGTCTGGGAATATTTATCATTAATCACACTAATGGACCACCGTGAGAGGGCAGAGTTTCTCTCTGGCTTTTCCTCTGATAAAGCTGGAAATTTTTCAAGAGCTTCCCCCAGCCAGCCAATATCAATTTAATTTGAGCCAGTGTCCTTTCGGAATATGAAGTTAGCCCCCAGAGAGTGTCTTCTGGTCTCCCACTGGAGCCACTAGCCTCCAGCCCTAACCCAAGTGACCAGTGACCAGTCTCCATGTGCCCAGAGAGAAGGCAGCCTGAGATCATTATGAGAGCACAGTCCAACAACTCCAGCTGGCCACTCTAGGTCTATATGCATTATTTATATGCATATGCTTTTATGTATATGCAGCAAGACAGCTGCATGAAGTTTTCTTGTGTAGCATTGAGAGAGACAG